TAATATATTTTAAAAAAATTTAATATAGTGGGATCAATTTTTTGAATATTTAAATTTTATATTTTATTATGTCTTCATACACGAGTTATGACTAATAAATAATAAACTAATTCTTCACCACTTGCAAAATTCTTGGTCTCGTGCCAAAGGATTTGTTTATTGTTTATTGTTTATTGTTTATATATATAGCATTAGTACCAGGGGAATCTTTAATTTATTATATGCGTGCATATATGTGAGAGTGTGTGAAAGGGAGGCCCATACCTTTTGACCACTTGTAAATTCTTAGAGAAGGGTGGCTATGAAGAAGAAAACAAAGGGAATTTTTCATTTATTATATGTGTGCATATATATGAGTGTGTGTGAGAGAGAGGCCCATACCTTTTGACCACTTGCAAATTGTTGGAGAATGGTGGCTAGGAAGAAGATCATAAAGGGACTCTTTAATATATTATATGTGTGCATATATACATACATACATATATATATAAATATATATTAGAGAGAGAGAGAGAGAGAGGGAGGGAGAGAGCATACCTTTTTGGACTACTTGCACATTAACCTAATGGAAGACTTGTGGCGGGGAAGAAGACAACAAAAAAGGAAAGAAGAAAAGTAGGGAAAAAAGGAGGGACAAGGGGGTGGAACTGGCTCTTTATTTATTTATTTTTTGGCTAAATTATTGCTAAATTATTTTTTATAAAATAAATTAAAAATTAAAAATTTTATCAGCGACAAAAAATTGTTGTTGCCACAAAAAATTATTTTTGGACGACGAACTAATATTGTCACCGAATAACACATTTCATAAATCAATCATTAACTGAAATATTATTTAATTTGTGACCACTAAATTCGTTGGCAAAACATAAACACCAATTGGCGCCAAAATGGGTTAATGGTGGGAATTGTTTTGCAACCACATTCAGCGACAAGTATAGATTGTTGTTGCCAATTTTTTTTTTAAAATAATTTTTGGTGACGAACTCTGATGTTGGTTGTGGAATGTCAGTTCTTGGCAAACATTTTTCTTATTCGTCACAAAAAGTTGTAATAAAACATTTTTCTTGTAGTTATGAGATGCATGTTGGTATTACTTCTCAATTTAATTCTATGTTTGATTTCATTTTTGTTGTATGGATTTTCATTATGTTCTGTATATTTTAAAATCTCTGTCAAGTTTAATAATTTTTTATTCAGAATTTATGCGTGTGTGTGTATATATATATTTTAAAATCTCTGTCAACAAATTTTTCAACATTTTTTTTCCTAAACAAACGGCAAAAAAGTTCGTGATAATCAGAACGCAGTAGAAGATATGATAGTTGTTGATGATGTTTCAAACTCCACTGATTTTGATGCTATGGAGGAAGAAATGAAATCTAAGAAGAAAAATTTGTTGTACTGGAGTAATGATCTTCTTTTAACGAGAGAGAGAGAGAGAGAGAGAGAGAGAGAGAGAGAGAGAGTATCAATTTTTAATTTCAATTTACGAGTGAATTAAGGGATACTAATTTTTAATTTAAGAAATTAATTTAAAACTACTTTCAAGGCTTTTAAGGTTTCTATAATTGAACAGAATAACACTGTTAAAGATATTTTTGAAATTTAAAAAAATGGTGGACTTAAATACTTATTTGTAAGATAAAAAATAGATTTATTACCAAATAAGTTTCCTTAATAAACTTAAGTTATTATAAGTTCATTCAAGAAGACTCAGCCCCAATTTTCACTATAAATAGTCCATTGAAGAGATGTAAAATTGATACTCAAAACAAATTAGAAAACTTGTCAATTTTTCCATTATATTTAAGCCAAAGATAAATTTTTACAGCCAATCGCCTCTTTTTTCATTAATGACCTTTTCATTTGTATAATTGTCAATCTTACATAAATATATTATTATATTTACTTAACCTATTGCCTCTCTATCTCTATGTTATTACCTTCAAAATTAAGAATAAATTATGCTACGACATCTGTGTTTGTACTTATCATCTTTCTTATTTGACTCTCTTAATTCTTTTTTTTTTTCTCTCATTCTATACTGTACAATGCTAATGTCCGGTGGATAAAAAGGTATTGAGTTTTCGAGTTTGTTAAACATTTTCTAAGTTTTATACTTATATTATTTTGATTTTGATTTAATCTAAGTGAAGTTATCTTTTGTTATAAAGGTTAGCTTATGTGATTTGATTGACAAAGAACGCTCATTTACAATCAAAAGTTACATGTTTTTATCATTTTTTTTTATCAAATATTATGGTTTTAATTTTTCTTCAAATTTATAGCGTAAGAATTCTTATTCAGTATACACATTTGTAGCATTAAATATTTATTTTGTTAAGAAATATTTTCTAATCTCTGACATTTCATGTAAGATCTTAAAATAATATTAAGCACTCAAAAAATAATCTCACACAAGCAATTATTTAATCAAAAGAAAAATAAAAAAAGAAATCAAGAAACAAAAAAAACTGAAGAAGACAAAGATAGGACAACTCAAAATTAACTAGAATATTTTATAAGTCAAAACTCTTAACCTCATTAAAATTCTAATTAAAAACTAATACTAAATAAATGAGGAATAAAACGAGTTTTTCCCCAAACTAAGTCTTCCTACAAACTTATTTTTAAACCAAGTCAATTATAAAATTATTTCTCGAATCCAGTATATTTTAAAAACGTCATTTAAAATAACGCCTTCATGAGTTAAAATGTTATTTAAAATAACGATTTTAAATNTGCGTAAAAAAAAAATGAGTCCATATATATATATATAATTGTCAATGGGTCAATTTATATTCTCGTCTAGGACCCAATTCTTGCTGGGACCCTGTTTATTTTAAAATTATTTAATAAATAATGACACTTTTTAAAAATGTGTTTGANCGAATCCAGTATATTTTAAAAACGTCATTTAAAATAACGCCTTCATGAGTTAAAATGTTATTTAAAATAACGATTTTAAATTAAAATTTTTTATTTAAATTGTCATTTGAAATGACGTTTTTAAAGGCATCAGTAAAAATAACGTTAAAAAAAGTGAATTAAAAACGACAATATAACAGATATTAAAAATATTAGTGGCTAAAAAACTTCATTTGAAATAACATTTTTAAAAAAAACCACTGCAAGTGACGTTTTAAAAAATGTGTAAAAAGAAGTAAATCCTGGTGCTACATACGCCTTTTGTTTTTTTTTTTATCAGTTACATGCGCGTTGAATGTGAGATTAGTCTGAAGGTATGGGAAACCCTAAAAGTTGTCAGAGGTCCCCCTAGAGATTTAATGCAAAATATGAGCTGGCATTCATTGGAAAAGTAGTGCGTAGAAGACTTAGACTTTTAACAATTGGAATTGGGATTACTCCAGTGATGTACCAATTTATACAAGTTAAAAAAAANTGAAATCAAAGTATAATTAATATTCTTTTCCTTCTCAATACGTATTAAATAAAAGTATTTTAATCTTGTGTAATTATTTTTTATTTATATTAAAATTATTTAATAAATTTTTTAATTCATGTCTAAAAATTTTAAATAATAAATATTTAAGAACGGAGGAATTACTTTTTAATGGCACAACCAAAACGAAAGCATGTTAAGAAAAGCGTGTTTTAAAGACAACTTTTAAGAAAATGTGTATTTCAAAAACCCTTTTTCTAGCATCTAGTCAAGTGTTAGGTGAGTTGTCGGTCTTTTGTTTGGGGGAGAGAGAAGAACAGAAGAGAGAGAATAAATGGGAAGAGAGACATTTTTGGTGATAATTATCTCTGACACAAGATACCAGCAATGAGAGATATGGCACCAATTATAAGAAGTGTGGTTAATATACGTGCATGGTTTCAATAAAGAGCAATATTATTGAANTAATTTATAAGTACGGATAACTCCTGAAAACAAAGAGATCAAAAGCTTTTGACTAGTTTATAGATAATCTCCTACATCAGTTGGGATTTTACATGTCCACTAGGCATAAAACCGAAACACAGAAACTATTTACATCTTCAGGAATGCTCATGTATATATAATTCCATCATTTTCGCCATGTAAACTCGTCCTTCAGCACATGTTCCCAATCTGATGAAAAGCTGTCATCAGTGGCGGATCCACAGTGAGGGCTATGTATAATTTTAAAAAATTTAGAATTTATTATAAATTTGTCCCCACTGAATTTTTTTTTAAAAATTTAAAGGTAGTTATACTATTTTGACAAATATACGAGTTCTACTTGTAAATATAAATGGAATATGATATCAAAAATTTGGGCATTTAAAGTTTAACTAATATGCTACGAAATAAGTTAGCCCTTTCATTTGTTTTATGTTTATACATTAAACTAAATTTAGGGTTTGTAATCCTCTTATTTGTTTTATGTTTATATGTTAGAATTGAAAATTAGGGTTTGTAGTACTCTTTTGTAGTTTATTTTTTAAATGTTGAATTGAAATTAGCACCTGTAGCTCTCTGTTGTATTTTATTTGTTACATATTGAATTGAAAATATGAAATTGGGGCTTGTAATCATCTCTTATGTTTAATTTTTTATGTATTGAATTGAAACTAGGATTTATTGTATTGTATTTATTTTTCTATGTTGAAATAAAATTGGGGTTTATAGTCCTCTTTTATGATTTATTTTTTATATATATTTAATTTATATTTGGGTTTGTAGTTCTCTCTAGTATTTTATTTGTATATGTTGAATTGGAATTATAACTTGTGGTCGTCTCATTTGTTTTATTTTTATTTGTAGAATTAGAATTGGGACTTGTAGTCCTCCATTATAATTAGATTAAATTATTTTGATTTGGTAGTTTGAATATTTTTATTGTGATAAGTTAAGTACTCCATATACATAGTTTATTGGAATAATTATAGTTTAAATTAATTTCGATTGTTTGTTAAAATTTAATGATGAATATTAGGTTTATGATCGAACAAATTAATTTTTGAATTAGTTATAAAAATTTTTCTTAAAATTTAATATATGTTTGAACTCAATTTTGTGGTTCAAAACCCAAGCCAAGCCAAGAAGAACGTTGAGTAGCCAGCCCACTGTTGTAAGATTGAAATACTGAGTCATCCTTGGCAGACACGCGGAACTCTCTGACATTATCATGATCAGAACCATCTCTGTATGACCCAAATTTGTCTCCACAACCATTCCCAGTGTCATGCTGCAGATGAGGAGGTCCCACACCCACATCCAAGCATCCATCCTCTTGTTGGTATTGAGAAAATGGCCAACAGTTTCCCTTACCTGCAAATCCAGCATGAACAACCTCTGGCAGTTGTTTCCCCGCCATATTTATGGAATTTGAATTGTCTAGCTTGCTTTTGTCCATCTCAATTTTCATTCGCTCAAAGCGAGCTGTGTAACCAATGGAACACAATTCAGCTTCAAACTCGAGCCAAAGATTCTTATACAAGAGAGTTTGCGGCTGCCCTTCTTAAAATAATATTAAGTACTCAAAAAATAATCTCACACAAGTAATTATTTAATCAAAAGAAAAATAAAAGAAGAAATCAAGAAAAAAAAAAAAAAAAAAAAACTGAAGAAGACAAATATAGGACAGCCGCAAAGGTTCTGCCGAAAAAAAAAATTTCAACCCCCAAAAGCTTCTGTCACCATTCATGAAGTACAATTATAAGTAAAGGTTTAAATACTAAAGAAATTTAAACCAATTAAAAAACTAATAATACCAATCCTATTTTAACTTTAATTAAACTATTCAAAATTAACTAGAATACTTTATGTGTCAAAACTCTTATATTCAATAAAACTCTAATTAAAAGCTAATTCTAAATAAATAAAAAATAAAATACTTCGAGATAGTTTGGATCAAATTCTAACATGTCAACTAAAAAGTATGAAACTTGATATAACGTGCGTAAAAAAAAAATGAGTCCATATATATATATATAATTGTCAATGGGTCAATTTATATTCTCGTCTAGGACCCAATTCTTGCTGGGACCCTGTTTATTTTAAAATTATTTAATAAATAATGACACTTTTTAAAAATGTGTTTGATAAATATACTTTCACACAAAAATATATTCTTGAAACATATTCTCTTTGTTTTTAAATATCTATCGTTTTACACAATTTTTTTGTTTCATAATATTTGTTTTTTAATGAAATCAAAGTATAATTAATATTCTTTTCCTTCTCAATACGTATTAAATAAAAGTATTTTAATCTTGTGTAATTATTTTTTATTTATATTAAAATTATTTAATAAATTTTTTAATTCATGTCTAAAAATTTTAAATAATAAATATTTAAGAACGGAGGAATTACTTTTTAATGGCACAACCAAAACGAAAGCATGTTAAGAAAAGCGTGTTTTAAAGACAACTTTTAAGAAAATGTGTATTTCAAAAACCCTTTTTCTAGCATCTAGTCGAGTGTTAGGTGAGTTGTCGGTCTTTTGTTTGGGGGAGAGAGAAGAACAGAAGAGAGAGAATAAATGAGAAGAGAGACATTTTTGGTGATAATTATCTCTGACACAAGATACCAGCAATGAGAGATATGGCACCAATTATAAGAAGTGTGGTTAATATACGTGCATGGTTTCAATAAAGAGCAATATTATTGAAACTTAATTTATTGATTTAATTTATTATAATTTTTGGATTAATGAAATATTAAAATTTAAAATTTAATTTTAATCAAATATTTGATTAATGAGATTCATCAAATATTAAAATTTAATGTTAATCTAATGATTCTGCTGAAGCCACATCATTATGTCAATAAATTAGGTTAAATTTTTAGGTCCAAATAATACTCTGTCTGTTCCTAAATATCTGTCATTTAAGATTTTTACACAGAAATTAAGGAAATTATNCATGTATATATAATTCCATCATTTTCGCCATGTAAACTCGTCCTTCAGCACATGTTCCCAATCTGATGAAAAGCTGTCATCAGTGGCGGATCCACAGGACTAAGTATAATTTTAAAAAAATTAGAATTTATTAGAAATTTGTCCCAACTGAATTTTTTAAAAAAGATTTAAAGATAGTTATNACGTATTGAGAAAAAAAAGAATATGAAATACACTACTACCCTACACTTAATCTATTAAACACTTATTGAAAAACANGGACTAAGTATAATTTTAAAAAAATTAGAATTTATTAGAAATTTGTCCCAACTGAATTTTTTAAAAAAGATTTAAAGATAGTTATGTTATTTTGACAAATAAATGAGTCTCACTTGTAAATATCAATGAAATATGATATCAAAAATTTGGGTATTTAAAGCTTAACTAATATGTTACGAAATAGTTTAGGCTTTTCATTTGTTTTATGTTTATACATTAAACTAAATTTACGGCTTGTAGTCCTCTTCTTTGTTTTATGTTTATATGTTAGAATTTAAAATTAGGGTTTGTAGTTCTCTTTTGTGATTTTTTTTTTAAATGTTGAATTAAAATTAACGCTTATAGCTCTCTATTATATTTTATTTGTTACATGTTAAATTGAAAATATGAAATTGGGGCTTGTAATCATCTCTTATGTTTTATTTTTTATGTATTGAATTGAAACTATGATTTATAGTATTGTATTTATTTTTCTATGTTGAAATAAAATTGGGGTTTGTAGTCCTTTTTTATGATTTATTTTTTATATATATTTAATTGATATTTGAGTTTGTAGTCCTCTCTAGTATTTTATTTTTATATGTTGAATTGGAATTAGGACTTGTAGTCGTCTCATTTGTTTTATTTTTATTTGTAGAATTGGAATTGAGACTTGTAGTTCTCCATTATAATTAGATTAAATTATTTTGACTTGATAGTTTGAATAATTTTATTGTGATAAGTTAAGTACTTCGTATACCTAGGTTTAGTTTATTGGAATAATTATAGTTTAAGTTAGTTTTGATTATTATTTAAAGATGAATATTAAGTTTGTGATTGAACAAATTAATTTTTAAATTAGTTATGAAAATTTTTCTTAAAATTTAATATATGATTAAACTCAATTTTGCGATTCAAATTTTTTTTTTTAGGCATTATAGATAAATTTATAGTGAATTTTTTTTATTGGCTCATTTTGTATATCGCTCATGTATATGAATTACTTCTTTAATTAGTGTTCTATAAATAAACCTATATTTTTATAAATATTTTAAAATTTAATATTAATATAATTTAAGTTGCTCCCCCCAACCCAACCCAACCCAACCCAAGAAGAACGTTGAGTAGCCAGCCCACTGTTGTAAGATTGAAATACTGAGTCATCCTTGGCAGACACGCGGAACTCTCTGACATTATCATGATCAGAACCATCTCTGTATGACCCAAATTTGTCTCCACAACCATTCCCAGTGTCATGCTGCAGATGAGGAGGTCCCACACCCACATCCAAGCATCCATCCTCTTGTTGGTATTGAGAAAATGGCCAACAGTTTCCCTTACCTGCAAATCCAGCATGAACAACCTCTGGCAGTTGTTTCCCCGCCATATTTATGGAATTTGAATTGTCTTCACGGCATTT